CAGATCTGTTTATAATGAAGTATGGTGAACTCTCATGATGATTCATCTCATGATGATTCAGGGATCTTGACTATTCATAAGACTGTAGTCTAGTTTTATTTTATAATCATCATTCATCAAGCATTAATTGAATTGCTGTTAGTCAATTTCACTCGATCCCAATACAAGAACGAAAGCAAGTCGCAGAAGGAGACCTGACAAAATATTTTTTCATGTAGAATATCTGCATTAAGGATCTCTTTCTTGATGTACACTGACATACATAACAATACAAGCATGACTATAGATGTGTTCGGCATACAAATAGAGAATCGACACATTCTGATTATAAAGTTCCAACGACAGAAAAAAATTAAATGGTAGCTTAAAATATCTTTCTCTCTTACACATGTACGACGTCTTTATTTTAGATCTAAATTACATGGATAGATTGATAGATGACTGTTTAAAGTTCAGTGGAATATTAATACGTATTCAGGACGAGAGAATGATAATGTGATATGAGATCGGCGCGCCGAATCAGATTATGTTTGCGTGCTATATATAAAAAGAAGATGTGGTATGATTGCCAATGAGACAACTATTCACTAGAGACCAAATGACACAGAAATTAACAATTATAAGTCACCGTACGGCTTTCAACAATGAGAAAAGCCCATACCGCATAGTTAGCTATAAAAGGTCCCAAAATGACAAAATGTAAAACAATTCAAACGAGAAAACTAACGGCCGAATTTATGTACAAAATAATGAACGAAAAACAAATATGTTACACAGCAACAAACAACAACCACTGAATTATAGGCTTCTGACTTGGGACAGGCACATACAGAATGTGGCGGGGTTAAACTCGTTTAAATGCGACAAGACTCCCCCTAATCTGGGGTACACAAGGTAAGATTCCGCAGGAATCATGTTATCTTACACGAACTTATTTTTTTGCCTTACTACTGAATACTGCGTGATTTGTTTAGCAGAGAAGTAGCATATCCAATTTTCATGCAACTCTTTAGAATTGACCCGCCTGGTTATCGAACCCACTTCATCTCGCATGGGAGGTCAGTACTCTTCCACGATACCACCGACGGAGGCGGTACTGAATCTTATAAGTAGCGAAGGAGGTGTTTAACTAAATTTACATTGAGGAATGCCACTGTGTAGCATCACCACCGGATATAGGTACTCCCGAAACATAGAAACAATGATCGCAAAAAGTACCTATTCTTATCCCCGTACAATAAACAACTTATCGCCGCTGTTCGCCGTACAATTTATCCGCTTTATTTACGTAAAATTTCTCTGTGTTTTAAAACAATAGATTATTTCAAAATACAGTGTTGTTCAAGCTGAAATAGGATATACCTTTGCTCTATACGAAAACGTCAAATTAATAGTTGAAGGATAAATGTGTTTCAACAAGTTTGAACTCGTCACATGCTTCGTTGAACAGGTATCCCCTAGCCGATTCTGACGAATTGAAGAGAGAGAGAAAAAGCCAAGTAAGTATTATAATCAGCCTCAAATAGTAGCTACATTATTATGTATCAGTATGCTTTTTGTGGAGAAAAATCCCAAATTTACAAAATTGACAAATGGTCAATTTGACACGAAAAAGCAACAAAATTTTATAAAACATTCGAATATTAACACCAACCTATAGTTTTTAAGTTAAATTTATTCAGATTGGTCCACTTCCAATTGTGAAACTGTGATTTTTTTCATGATAATAGCCCATAAATGGGTAAAAATTGATGAAAAATGGGAAAATCATTAACAAAGAGGTATTTTCAAATGGCCGTACGAAAAAAAGAAGTGCACCACCATATGATTTTTTCTTCACCATTTACTTTCTTACAATCATATAAACCCAGAAATCAGGCCAAGAAAAAAAGTTTAATTCTAGAAATGTTTTGGCTCCTAAGAGGTGTACATCCTTAATTTCTATTTTGAATCTTGCTTGTTAACGATATTTCGTTATTTCATATAGCAATTATACTACGGTTATCATTCCGATTTTCAAACTGAAAAGGCCGAAAATTTCCAAAGAATACAATTTTCATTTGTACACGAACAGTAGGCAAAAACATGTACAATTTATGTATACTAGAACACACCCGCGAAATCGCGGGCATTTAGAGCGTGGTTGAAAGTATGTAAACTGTAGTAGGATGAATTTTTGTAAAAGATTTTATGATTGGAGAATTTCAGGAAAGGTATCAAAAGTCATAGGTACTGCGACAGGACAATATTTTCTAGCCCGCTCCCTTTTTTCCAAAGTCCGTTATTTTTTTGTTTTCAGTTAATTTCAATTATTTTCGCGTTTTCTGTATACTATGAACATACATAATTGTTTATCATAAATAATTGAAAGTGTATTTGCTATTTACTATCAATTCCAACTTTATCATCATCAGCGGTCACTAATATATTATATAGAGAATCTCTATATTTCATAGTAGTATGATCATAATACAAATGCAGATAAAAGCGAAAATAATTGTCCTGTCCCCGAGTACTTATGAAAATTATGTGTCATTTTTAACAGTCCTATACGGAAGTCTTGTCTATGACTTAAAAGTCCGTCCGATGACGGAAACAATATCCGGACGCCTTTATTTTCGTTTTTCTCCCAAAATAACCAAAACTGAATAATCATTAGAATAGATGACAAATGCGACTATACATGGTACCTATAGGACACAGAGGCATGATGATTAATTTATTGTGGAAGGAAGAGAAGCGACACACTAAATGAGGTCTTCTCATTTAATAGTATAGATGCGGCAAATTGTTAATGCGATTAGAATTGGCATATTTGAATGTTTATATTAGGGGCATGTATAATCCTATTATAATGACTGCCGTCACAATAAGCAATATGAGCTATGCAAATTAGTGACGTACCCCAAATTTTGCCATATAGTCGTGAATAGCTAAGCTTTTTTTCATTAAATGTCATTTTTATTTTTTGAATAACCTATTAATATTAATTTGATGGTATCATATTGACGTAAAATTAAGGCAATACAATCGGACTCGGTGATTCCTTTCTGTTGTTAGATTTGAAATGACTTGCTTATTTCAATGAATATCATTTCTACTCGGGAATAATTCTATAATTAGATATAAGAAGATGTGGTATGAGTGCCAATAAGACAACTCTCCATCCAAATCAAAATCGGAGCCTTGGCTCACACCGAACAGCAAGCTATAAAGGGCCCCAAAAATAACTCTAGTTTTTTTATTATAATATAAACATAATTATATGTTAGCTGCGCCAATAATCGAACATATTTCGTTTTTCGTATTTTTCACATACAAAAAATAATCCAATTGGAAGAAACTTAATTGATTATATACCAAAAAAGAACATAATGTTTGCATTTCGGCTTTTAAATTTTACGTACGTTTGAAGTTATGAAATATTAATGTGTGAAACAAGCGTCTACGTTCAGCTTTTCAAATACATAACATTTCAAAATTGCAGGTTGCGATTCTATATTAAATAAGTGCGTTCACTTGCCTCTTATTTGTTTCTTTTTCAATTTGTGTTTAATTGCAGGGTTATATGTTTAATTATACATTTGTACCTTAAGTATTTATTCTGCAGATCTCTAAAATAACACGTGATATATATATATAATACTAGAACGTAACCTGTTCGACCACGGGTATTGAATAAGAGTATTGCGAAATTATCTACAAATTCTGAACAATAGGATGACGTGCCTGACAAAATTGGAGACCTCATACTTTCAATTATGAAACTTTGAAGTTATGTACTTTTCGCATTTTGAAAGTTACTAAGAAAAAAGAGACAAAAGGGGAGTACAGAAATTCGATGGAAAATCATTATAATTATTTTTGAAATTATATTGAAATTATATTGCAATAACTGTTTATAAGACCCCTTAAAACAGTAGTATTCGTCATCAGATCTGTTTATAATGAAGTATGGTGAACTCTCATGATGATTCATCTCATGATGATTCAGGGATCTTGACTATTCATAAGACTGTAGTCTAGTTTTATTTTATAATCATCATTCATCAAGCATTTATTGAATTGCTGTTAGTCAATTTCACTCGTTCCCAATACAAGAACGAAAGCAAGTCGCAGAAGGAGACCTGACAAAATATTTTTTTATGTAGAATATCTGCATTAAGGATCTCTTTCTTGATGTACACTGACATACATAACAATACAAGCATGACTATAGATGTGTTCGGCATACAAATAGAGAATCGACACATTCTGATTATAAAGTTCCAACGACAGAAAAAAATTAAATGGTAGCTTAAAATATCTTTCTCTCTTACACATGTACGACGTCTTTATTTTAGATCGAGCCGTGTTTTCTAATGCATCGTGCATACAGTGCTCCTATAGCTACAGAGTTTTTTTGTGACAATACATTGGATCACTGAGAATTTGTGTGTACATTATTGTACATGGATATATATATCGTTGTGTATATTTTTCATGTTTTAGTCGACTAATTCAATAAATATACAATATAATATTATGTACATAGTCGGAAAATATAAAATTTATTTGTATGAGCTTTAGAAACAGGTCGAAAAGCGAGCCTCGCCGAGCTTTTCTCGTGTTTCGTAGAAAGTACAAATAAATTTTATATAAGATTTACCGGTCTTGCAGTCTCCGTCATTATTAAAGGAATTAAAAAAGGTATTGTATTTTGAGGTTCGAGTAGTGGGTCCCACTCTGTGTATACGAAAGAAGGCGAATATATCAAAGGGATATTCAAACTCACAAGTTGATGACAAACTGACAACGCCATGGCAAAATGAAACGAAAAAAAAACAAAATGACAAACAACAGTTTAGTAAATAAACAATAAAAAAAACTAAAGACTATTAGCCGAATCACATCAAAAGAAAATGTAAATTTTGGTTTTGTTAATCGACTCATAGCACATGGGATAAATGTACTCCACAAAGAGAAAGCAACTCAGCAAAATAGTAAAACCAAAACAGACATATGTTTACAGTATTTATGTTCCTGAATAGTAGATAAATACCAAAATAAGATGTAGTATGATTGTCAATGTATACAAATGTCTATATTCTATATCATAAGCCATCGGCACTTATAACCAGCGACGAAAGGTTCTTGATTTTGAAAGGAAAATGAACGTGTTGTGAGTAAACTATATATATATATATATATTTTTGTACTTAACCTCTCCAATTAATCTCAATGAACGGGAAATAAAATTATTGAAAAAATTCGAGTAAAAATGTGTTCAGTTTATGTTTTTTTTCCCCCGTTCTTTTAATAACAAAAGATTACAGATAACACAGCTACATGTGTACCAGTAAAACCAAACTAAATAATATCGATTCAATATGCATGATAATCGTATAAATATCATTAAATTTACTAGATATAGATATTACAAATTTTACTCCAATTTAATAATATGAAATTTGTTTTTTAATCATAGCATACAGCTTGATTATACTTATTACCAACATGAGAAGCTGAAGCAGTAAAACATGCATAAAAACATAATTTGACAGTAAAACATTAGTAGTTTCTAAAGACATGTATAATTGCTGTCAAGTGTTCCATTTAATATTTAATACATAGGTTTAACAAAACAATTATCAGTAATCTCTCTTTATCTCTTCGAATATAGCATCGTGTTCATATTATAATTTTATTTCCCGTTCTTCAATTGCCATGGCTATTTCCTTGTCCAAAATACAATATTTTTGGTTTTTAGTATTAAAGTAGTAAAGTGGTTCTTTCACCACCGTAGGATCAAATCCTTCTTTTTTCAGAGTTGCCTTTATTTGTTTGAACGTTGATGTGATGTCTATCATATGTGTAAATCGTAGGAATCTAGGTATAGCATATGATTCTAGTTCGTTGATGCATTGTTGTTCTATTTTGGAAATCATGTCTTCAGTAGGATGTTCCTTCTCGGAATCAAGTAAGTTGATTGTAGCCATTCCTGCTCGCCCCTCAGAACCTAAAATTCACATATATCATTTAGAGAGAAACAGTCTAAACATTTTGTAATGCCCTTGTGTTGAATCAATATACAATACTGTAGGTGTACTTAACTTTAAAGTACATGTATATTAAAAACAATTCTAATAATAATTATACCGGCAAATTCTTGGAACAAATCTCCCTAATGATTATCATTTGAAATGCATATATATTCCCGACTTAGTACAAGCGCGCATGTTTGCAAATAAAAGCTCTGGGCGGAAATGAAGATTTCCAATAACGTTCCCTCGTTTGATTTTGCTTGTAATGTTTAAGTACATGTCATTTTTATGTTTCTCTGTGTTATTTTAGTAACAAATCTAGATTTAAATAAAATGAAGGAATCATGTATCTCCCTCATGCATGACTCTGATTCCTTGTCCGGGTTTAGATTTACTTTTGGTCAATTTTGATTTTATCAGCTCTACAACGTTTATAATTGAGGTATTCGGCGTTCAAACATTTTGGCCTCAATCATCATAACTCGAATAATTCAAGCCCTTTCTGTGTCCGAATTTTCTCCCACAACTTAAATAAAAATTCCCTTATTGCATAGCGGTGTGAATTTTCCGGTTGACGGTCTTTATCGAGGAAGACGTTCAGGCGTTAATGTAGCCTTCGTAGATCAGCGGAATATAACGACTGAATTATTCGGGTCACAATCATCACTGATGTGACTTTAATTGTCGAGATGCGTATCTAGTGCATTACAATTGGCACAGGTAATGTTATTTCTATATATTGTTTGCCGTGGATTAAAACTAATACACTTAGTATATTCTATTATATCATATTATATGTACAAAAAATAAGTCCAACATGAGATGAAGCGTTTGGTTTTATGTTATTGCGGTCCCATATATAGATATAAGAAGATGTGGTATGAGTGCCAATGAGACAACTCTCCATCCAAGTCACAATTTGTAAAAGTAAACCATTATAGGTCAAAGTACGGCCTTCAACACGGAGACTTGGCTCACACCGAACAGCAAACTATAAAGGGCCCAACAATTACTAGTGTAAAACCATTCAAACGGGAAAACCAACGGGCTCATCTATATAAAAACGAGAAACGAGAAACACGTATGAACTACATAAACAGACGACAACTACTGTACATCAGATTCCTGTATCAAATTTTACCCATGTATCAAATTTTATCATTATAGGACACTTGATACAGTTTTTGCATAAAAGAACTGAGTTCGGACGAAAACTAACATTAAAAACTTAAACCAACGATGCACTAAATGAATTTCAGAATGCCCTTTATTTGGAATATACTGGTATAGTTTCCAAGATACATTCTTGCACTAAATGAGGAGAATTTAAAACCCATAAGTTGGAAAAAAAAAGACTTCATAATTATGGTAAAAAAAGACTAACAGATAAACAGCAGTTCTCAAAACGCCGTACAGAAAACCAGACTGGGCAACGTAAACATCGCTGCAAAACGACGGTGAATAATTTTGGTCTGAATTTTTCACACCACGATTGTTAGCATTTGCAAACTTCTTTTCTAAAAAAATATCAACCTCACAGTTTTCTAATGGTATCAATCTCAGTGTATGCGTATAATGTCAACCTCAGTATATACGTATTATAACAACCTCAGTGTATGTGTATCATATAACCTCAGCTAATGTATGCATATGGTATCAACCTCAGTGTATGCGTATAATATCAACATCAGCTAGTGTATGCGTATACTATCAATCTTAGTGTATGCGAATTATGTCAATCTCAGTTTATGCGAATGATATCAATCTCAGTGTGTGCATATGGTATCAACCTCAATGTATGCGTATGGTATCAAACTCAGTGTATGCGTATGATATCAAACTCAGTATATGGGTTTGGTATCAATCTCAGTTTATGCGTATAATATCAATCTCAGTGTATGCGTATGCTATCAACCTCAGTGTATGTGTATGATATCAATCTCTGTATGCTTTTAATATCAATCTCAGTGTATGCGTATGGTAACAATCTCAGTGTATGGGTATGGTAACAATCTCAATGTATACGTATATCAACCTCAGTGTATGCGTATGGTATCAATCTCCGTATATACGTATAATATCAATCTCAGTGTATGCGTATAAAATCAACCTCAGTGTATGCGTATGGTATCAATCTCAGTGTATGCGTGTGATATCAACCTCTGTGTATGCGAATAAAATCAACCTCATTGTATGCGTATGGTATCAATCTCAGTGTATGCGTGTGATATCAACCTCTGTGTATGCGTATAAAATCAACCTCAGTGTATGCGTATGGTATCAATATCAGTGTATGCGTGTGATATATACCTCTGTGTATGCGTATAAAATCAACCTCAGTGTTTGTGTATGATATCAATCTCAGTAACAACGTTAACGTAGTGCATACATGAGATATTAACCTCAGTATATACTTATGTTATCAAACCCAGTGTATGCGTAAAATATAAAAAAGTGAAAGGGGCAATTCATTGTTCAATTCAATGAAAGTACGCTCCTTGGCAGAACAAAGCTACAATTGTTAACAAAAGATTTGTTTTACTTAGTGATTATCTATTGGTAACATAAATATTTTTGATAATTAATTTGTTTTTAGTAAACATTAGTACGCTATACCTGGAACAAGAACTCCGTAGACACATGTATCTACTATAAATGGTAGCTCTGTGATAATATTTGCTACTTGTGTGGTTGATACATTTTCACCTTTCCATCTTAAAAATATAAACGAAAAGACTAGATTATTGCATTTCATTTTAAATCGTCAGACTAATGATATGTATTAATATAAAGTTATGTTTTAGCTTTTTTTAGGTACAATAAGGTCAATGACTGTTTTGGCCAAAAATTCGAAAACATCACAAACTTTCATAAATCTATCAAATAACAAAACAATATTCTGCTAAAGTTCACAAGACATCAGTCTGTCTTATGATATATTAATAATACTATATTTTGATACTGATTTACACATTCTGTCTCGGACTCATCTACCTGCAATGAAGGACACATTTTAAAAATTAAAGAGATACACTGAGATCTTCGTAATACTTTTTAGATATGAACAACAGTCTTACACAAACATACATTTTGCCACACGATGTCTAACACCAAGATGTTGATACATTCTATTTTCTTTTTAGTTAAGGGTAGCACTGTCGCTCCTTTTTAATTTGTATTAACTTTTAATGTTACATGTATGTAAAATGCCCTTTATTTTCATTTTACCATTTCTGCAATAGGATGACCAAACTATATCACAAATTACTATTTCAAATAAACAATGATAAATGAATTTATTATTTAATGTAAACCTGTATATGTAAATCAAAGAAAACTTCTAATCATACCTCCTCCTTATTACGATGGACAAAAAATTAAAAAAAAATAAAATAAAACTAGAAGCTCTAAAGAGCATGTGTCGCTCACCTAGGTCTATGTGCATATTCAAGAAAGGACACTCTCTGACATTGTAAACCAGAACAGAATTCATGACAAAAATCTCTTTTTTGTTGATCTTGTATAATAATTGCTGATCGTTTTGTCTGTTTAATTTCTCTCTATCTTCTTTAGTTTTTGCTCAAAGCACAAAAGAGGGTAAAAAAAATCCTGATTTAAGGGCAATCACTTCTATAAAGAGTGACAGTCTACTAACTATATCAGCAAAGGTGTAGACCCGGTAAGACCCCTTTTTGGCCCCAAAATATATCATTTTTACAATTTGTTTAAAATGTAAACTTTAAGCTATTTATTGGAAAGTAAAATACTTTTGTTACATACATATGGCCTGTTTTTGACAATACAATGCACATGCATCAGGTACTAGCACCAGTAATTCATGTGAAATTACTGAAATATCACAATTTAAGCATTTGTGCTAATGTTTAGACGGTTTTTGACTAAAATGGAAGTGGCCGCACTTGTGTTCAGTCTTAATTTTTTAATTCATGTTGTATTTGATGATAATACATAACATATATAAAGGTTGGGACTGAACACGAATGCGGCCACTTACATTTTAGACAAAAATCATCTGAAAAGTTACGTTTTATGGCATATTTGATAGATTTTACATATTGAAGCTTGAATTTGAGCGTCTTAATTGACCAAATCAGTTCAAATATTTTGCATAAACTAATTGAATCGAATGAAGTAGACATGGTTTTACACTAGTAATTTGTTGGGGCCCTTTATAGCTTACTGTTCGGTGTGAGCCAAGGCTCCGTGTTGAAGACCGTACTGTGACCTATAATTGTTTACTTTTATAAATTTTGACTTGGAAGGAGAGTTGTCTCATTGGCACTCATACCACATCTTCTTATATCTACTTGAGTGTTTAAAAAATGTCCAAAATCTTTCATCAGATGTATTTCACATTTTAGGCCAAAATTTACTTTCGCCCTTACCGGACCTTCTCCTTTGACTTGTTTATAGATCTAGCCTTGCTGATCATTTTTGTTATTTTGAAATTTATAATTATTTATTATAATTTCTATCATATAAGGCAAACGCATAAAAAATGGCATAAACTCCAATAAAGAGTGGTCTGACGATTTCCTCTTTTATGTCTTAATTGTAGATCTTGTCTTGCTGATCATTTTTGCTTATTTAAGTTCCTATATATCTATTATAACTTTTAAGGCAAAAACGCGAAAAAATTGGTAAAAATCGTCATCAAAGGGCAATATCTTTAATAAGTAGTCGACTGACGATTTCGACCATAAGACTTATTTGTAGATCTTGTCTGGCTGATAATTTTTGCGATTTAAAGTTTCTCTGTTTCTGTTATAGTTTTCAAGATAATAGGTAAAACTGAAAAAAATGGTACAATTTGTCATTTAAGGGCAATAACTCATATAAGAAGTCCCCTGACAGTTTTGACATAAATGGACAAATGGTAGAGCTCAACATTTTGAACATTTCTGCACCTGTCAGATTTTCTCTATTTATAACGTTTTTCAAAATAATAGATAATACTTGCATTTTACCCGTATGTTCTATTTTTAGCAATGTCGGCCATCTTGGTTGGCAGGCCATCGGACACATTTTTAAAACTAAATACCCCGATGAAGATTGTGGCCAAGTTTCGTCAAATTTGGTCCAGTAGTTTCAGAGGAGAAAAATTTTGTAAAAGTTAACGGACGACGGACGCCAAGTGACGAGAAAAGCTCACTTGGCCCTATGGGTCAGGTGAACTAAAAAATAACCAGTATCTCAATTGTGTGTAAAACAATTAAAAGGTCTTTTTCTATAAAGTCTGATATCAGTAATGCACTCTTTACGACCTTTCATTTGATATGCGACAAGCATACATTCTTAATTTTTTCTCTTTAAGCACTTAATGACCCTATCCTCCTCAATTTTCGAGATCGGAAGTATGATATTTGTAATGAAGACTTGATGACCACTCATTTGATATGCGACAACCTTACCTTCTAAGACAATTTAGTTTTTGCACTCAATGACCCAACCCAACTCATTTTTAGGGGACAGAAATTTGATATTGGAAGTGTATACTTTATAGACAGAAATTTTATATGCGACAACATTATCATTTTATAAGAGTTATTTCCCTTGAAATATTATACACATTTTTTGGAAAAAATATATTTCTAGAACCAGAAGTCGTAGAGACATTGAACCTTCACCAATAATCTTCAAATTATGCGACCATTCATTTATGATTTGCACCCAAGGTCAAAGGTAATAGAGTGCAAACAAATTTTACGCTTAAATTTCAAGCTTGAATATTAAGAAAACGAAGAGATAGCTGTATACACAGAGCATATAAAATGTTATTCTATATATAAACCAAAAACTGTCCGACCATCCGTTCAAAAGTTACGACGAGATAATTCTTTTAAAGTATAATTTTTTGTGTAAATCTATGAAATGGTAACAGATATCACCCTACTATAAACTGCAAAAATTATCAGTATTTTAAGGCCTTCAATTTGAGTTCAATATCAAGGTCATGAGGAAATTACTTCCTGACTTTCAAAGTATACTATAACCTTGACCTTGTGACCTTTTGAAAGGTCAAGTAGTCCTGAGTTGAATGGTGGTAGTCCCATGTCTATGACTTCCGGTTCTCAAATTCGGTATTGCATCATATATTTAATTATTCATTGTGCCCTTAATGAGCTATGAAATTGTCCCAATTTTTCATAGTGTTTTCCTTCATCTGCAGATCATCTTACACTTAGCAGATTTGAGATGTCTGTTGTCGTTTTAGAGATATTGTAGTTTAAAATTTTGTGAGGGGGCATATATTTCTGAATCAACAAAGGCTAGCCACCTGAAATTTTCAGAATTTTCAGAATTTAATATGGTTATATGTATGACGAAATACTAAAATCATTTGATAAAAAAACAAAGGAAAATAGGCAAGTTGAAATGTTCATGTTTTACATTGATTTTTCATAAGTTCTATTTATAAAATTTATATTGCATCATTTTTTGGACTTTGCAAAATTGGGTCATTTGACATATGAAATTGAACATCCAAATGAGCTGTTCAAAAATGAAAATTCTAAACCCTATTTTTCATCCTAAAGAGAAAGGGGGGGGGGGGGGAATTAAATGCACAAAAAAACTTATAAGGGTTGTTTTCAAAATAATTGTTTAAGTATATTAACATTGCCATATGTTCCTGTACATGTTGTCATTTTCAGATCAATTCTATCTGTAACAATTTTTCAGATATATGCAAAGAAAAGAAATTGTTTTAAGAGGATATAACTCTAAAAGGGGATAATGAAATCCTACGCAGTGTCATCTGGTATTACTGCATGATGAGATATACCTATTGTCCAAATAAGGTTATGGTATCTCATAAAAAGAACGAGGAGGGCCATGTCGAAAAAAAAATGAAAGGAAGATAACTTCTAAAGGGGATGATGAAATTCTACACAGGGTCATCTGGTAATACTTCATGATGAGGTCTATTGACGGTCTAAATTTGATAACTACAAAAGAAACGTACTTTCAACAAGTTTCAATTATCAATAAAAATATGACGGTCGTGACCCTCTTACTAACAAAACACATGAAATATGTAAACAAAAAATCCGAAAATAATCATTAAACGTGGTTCATAGTTACCTATATGTATCACCAAGCCGATCATAAAAATAGTAATAGTAGTATTCGTCATGGTAAAACAGGTCTCCAGAATTGATGTATACATCTCCTTTTTTAAAAACATCATGGATAAGTTTTCGTTTAGTTGCATCTTCCCGGTTTTTATATCCTTCAAATGGAGTTTTTTCACTTAGTGTTAAAATAAGTAGTCCTGGCTCATCTGCAATTAAAACATTTACTTAAAATGTCCCAATTGAACAATAAAACTAGTAAGAATAATAGCGAGTTTAAATGCTTTGATCAACATTTTCCTTATTCATAACACTTTATCCTGTTTGATATTTACCATGGACGGCTTGCTATGGGCATGTATTTGTACACAACTCACATTTCTTCCATCCTTCACTTTTATCACAAAGTGAGGTGAATTTGGGACTATTGTTGATTGTCTTTTTTGAGCAACGAAACTTGTTTGATGATGATGGATGGTTGCTTAACGTCCAGCGGTAAATTAATATGCATATTCAGGACGAGAACATGTTAATGTAATATGAATATTAACCCTGTTTTGTACTAGACCGACACGCTGAGCCGGTTTTTAACGTGCTAGTTCACAAGGTAACAGTCCGCTGGAAGGCATGTCACCTTACCCGGACACATTATTCTGACTCCGAGCCGACCAGCCTTTGCTCTTACTTCTTAATGCTGCGTACTAAGCGGATAAGCAGCAAATACAAATTTTACAGTCTTTGGTTTGACCCGGCCGGGGTTCGAATCCACGACCTCCTGCACTCGAGGTGAACACGAAACCACCGAGGCGGTTGGAACTTGTTTGAGAAAATATCGTCCACAAACAACCATCAGCAAAACATTTTGAATAGAAAAACTTTCGTGTAGCTTTTTATGTAATCCCACCAAAAATAAGGTTTTATTTTAGTGTGTCATACCCTTTCCATTCCAAAATATACTCAAATCATGATGCCAAACAAAGAAAATACCTTTTTTAAACAAAATACTCCAGTTTTGTCATGGTAACTCGTCAAATGGTTTATTTAAAAATAAGATGTGTTATGATTGCCAGTGAGACAACTTTCCCCCAGAGACCAAATGACATAGAAATTAACAACTATTGGTCACCGTACGGCCTTCTACAATGAGCAAAACCCGTACCGCACAGTCAGCTATAAAAGGCCCCGAAATGACAAATGATTGATTTTTTTTTTCTGAACAACTTTAACCGTAGGCAAATAGTTTTGCTATTGGTTATTTGCTCGTGGACGATGTTTCCTCAAATGAAGTACGAACGGAAAACTGCATTTAATTAACATTTTCTTCATTTATGCGATAAATGCACACATTATAATGACGCCATAACATTGTACATCTGGCCTGATTTATTTATGTTTCTTGGTTTATATATTTCCCTTCATAACGAGCGGATTTAAACTGTAGCTCTCAAAAGCTTCATTTTCTTGGGCCAAAATTGGGGCTTAATTTTCTCTTTAATCTTTATTCTTCACTTTTCTAGACTTGGAACAATTTAGAGCTTGAAACATTGTGTAAACATAAATGTATTGTTGAAGACAGTATAATGACCTAATGATATCTTTGTTTTTGTGTAGTTGGGATGCTGTATCATTGAAGTACCCTCCACATATCCAATTATCCATATACATACATGGAGCAGCTGGAATGCACTGGCCATTTTCATCTCGTACAGGCTGGTCCATATCTGTATCAAACTTGACAAAATGGATCCGAAGCAACCGTTTCTAAATAATTAAAGGAAAATGATTTTATCGATCATCACGTCTTTGGAGCAGTATACATGTACATTTGTAGGAGGGCCTGGATGGGTTTACAGAATAGAGAATAATGGAAAAAATGTGCAGCATAAAGGGCTAACAAAATAGAGAATAGAGAAAAATAGGTCAAAAAAATAAAGAATAGAGAATAATGGGGTGCTTAAATATAAAGAATAGAGAATAACAGAAAAAATTTATAAAAAATAGAGAAAAATGGCAAAAAAATTAAAGAATACAGAAATGAAGGACCCCCCCCATCCCCACCCCTTTCCATTCCCTCGTATATCCCTTGGAGCAACTTGTATGACTCTCGGTTTTACTGATAGTTTGTATAATAATGGCTCTAGTTTAAGTGTATTTGATGAATTGTGCAGAGGTTATTAAGCAAGCTAATTTTGTTCTTCAAGTCGTATCAATTTCCCAGAAAAAGAAAATTTGAATAGGCTTATATTATCAACTGATTATTTTGTTTGTTTAAGTAAATAATTTCATCATAATTTGTTGGATGAAATGATTGAATTAGCCCTAATACGGTAAATACATGTACAACATGTGCAATACTGATGACTTTTGATAATGTTAATTAATGAATGATTGATGTTTTATTGAAAACCAGCTGCAAATATGTCATTGAAACTCAGAATAAATATTAAGGTAATAACAATTCAATACCGATTAGGTTGAACTTCTGTACTATAAATTTTACAAAAAATCTTACGAATAGTGGAGATATTCTGCCAACTGCACCAACTGCGTTTTCGATATTTATAAGTCCTGCTGGCATCTCAGTTGCACCATAGAACTCCAGAATTCGTTCTATCTTAAACTTTTTTTGAAACAATGTCCATACGTCTTTCCTTAGTCCATTTCCAAGCGCGACTCTTATTCTATGATTGGTATCATAATCGCCCTTCAGTATATAATGTAGAAATGCATGTTAGAAGAGACACAAAGAAGTCGCTGCTAAGTTTCACTGTGAACATATATGCACAACATTGACCTTTGAATACAAAATCATATGAAGATACCGATAGGCAATACAAATCATAAGTTGAAGAACGGCAGAAATCATCCCTTCAGAAAAAAAAATAACAACAAAAAAAACAAAAAAAAACAAAAAAAAAACAAACGAAAGACAAAAAAAGTCCTCAAAACACTACCCTCGTCAATACTTTTCTTTATCTATACCGTAATGTATTGATTTTTTTTATTTTGGAAAATAGTTTTGATGGCAGATATTTGGTGGTTTAAGTATACAACTGTTATAGACGGATTTTTTTATCTGGACATTGAAACATTTTGTCTATTCTTTTCTTAAGACCGCTTATTCAATAATAAATTTTATCAAATAGAAAAAATATAAAGACTGGATAGTCAATAATAAGCTTTTGAAAAATTATATTCCCCTCGCCAAAACGTTTATGTATTATATTTAAGAAAAATACTAAAATATGTTCCCCTTTTTACGACTCCTATCTAAATCACAATAACAAATTGATTCAGAAACAGTTACACAAAATAAAAAATAAAAAACAATAACCCCCTACCCTCATAAAGGCAAGAAAAACCAACACAATCAAGTTGGCAACAACAACAAAAAAGTAAATGGTGATTGTCAGATTGTCACATGACATGTAAATAGTAGGTTAGGGAGCAACCATTCAACTTCAAGGGGGAGGGGGTTTATGGTTTTTTGTCTGAGTCATAACATTTTAAAATAAGATTCAGAATATATTTTTTTGTCATCTGCTTGACCACAATATTTTTTTTTCATCAAATTGGGGATCAGAATATTTTATTTAGGAAAATAACAATAACCCTCCCCCTTGAAGTTAAATGGTCGTTCCCTTAGTCAATATATGCACTACATTTTTGTATTTTGTCAGTTTACGGCATAAAGTACTGATATTCCGGTCTACAGTAATGTTTGTTGAATTATGTCTGGAAAAATGTCACTATTTTCATTATACAATTTGACATTTAACTAACATTTTGCATAAAAGTCGAGATATTCTAAAAAAACGTATCATAATGATTGATTCAAGATCATAAGTTCTCATGGTATTTGTTGTTTTCTTGTGTCTCTTGGACAATAAACCCTATTTTCTTGGTCTTAGATTTAAAGTTAACTTACATTTCTAGGTTATTTTGTTCTTCTTATTTCATACAAACCTTTGGTGAGTTCACCAAATATCGACACATCTCACCGACATAATGAATCATTGTTACGTTGTTCCGATGGCATTCTTCAAAGAACTTACTGGCAGAAAATTTTTCTGACAGAACCACTGTCACTCCTTCAATGAATATAAAAGAGCAGAAGTTACTGAGCGTACAAAACAAACCTCGCACAATAAAGATCGGTTCTATCTTAGACTGTTTTAAGGATCTCATACTTTCAACTTTTCAAATTTTGTAATCTCTGGTAGCGACCTTTATATTTGTAACTACATGTATGTTTTTAAAGAATGCATCTCAAGTACATATCTGTCAAAAATTGCCCTTTTTTATCAATGTTATTTACCTAAAAGGCCAAGTGAGCTTTTCTCATCACTTGGAGTCAGTCGTCCGTCGTCGTTAACTTTTACAAAAATCTTCTCCTCTGAATCTACTGTGCCACATTTAACCATACTTGGCCACAATCATCATTAAGGTATCTAGTTTGAAAAATGTGTCCGATGATCCGCCTGCCAACCAACATGGCCGACATGGCTAAAAATAGAACATAGGGGTAAAATGCAAGTTTGGTCTAATATCTTGAAAACTGCTATAAATGGAGAAAATCTGAAACAGGCAGAAATGTTAAAAATGATGAAATCTACCTATTGTTTATTTATTTCCAAAACTGTCAGTCGACTTCTTATAGGAGTTATTGCCCTGAAATGACAAATTTTACCGATTTTTTTCATTTTTGCTTTTTATCTGAAAAACAGTAAAAGATAGAGAGTAACTTTATTTACCAAAAATGATCAGCAAGACAAGATCTACAAATAGGTCCATTGTCGAAATCGTCAGACGACTCTTTATTGGAATGATTGCCCTTTAATGAAGATTTTTATCATTTTTTTGTGCTTTTGCCTGATATCGGAAACACCTTAAATAGATAAATAGAAACTTAGATCAGCAAGACAAGATCTATAAATAAGTTTCAATCTTGAAATCTTCTGACGACCCCTTATTGGATAATTATTTTTACATTTTCTTTGCAATTTTGTCTAATATCTGAAAAACTATAATAGATAGAAACTTAAATAAGCAAAAATGATCATCAAGACTTATCTACAAATAAGTAAAAGAGCCGAAATCGTCAGTTGACTCCTTGTTAGAGTTCTTGCTCTTTAATGATGATTTTTATCAATATTTTATTTTTTTGCTTACTATCTTGAAAAATATAAAAGATGGATAGAAACTTTATATAACAAAAATGATCAGCAAGACAAGATCTACAAATAAGTTAAATTTCGCCGAAATCAGTTTTTTTACTCTTTATAGGAGTGATGGCCTTAAATGATATTTTATTTTACCGTTTTTTGTGTTTTGGGTAAAAACTAAGGAAAATAGAGAGAAACTGTACACAGAAAAATGATCAGCAGTACAAGATCAACAAAAAAAGATTTTTGTCATGAATTCTATTCTAGTCCACAATGTTGGAGAGAGTCCATTGTTGAAGATGCTTATAAACCTAGGTGAGCGACACAGGCTCTTCAGAGCCTCTAGTTTCCACTACACATCGATTTGCAACAGCATCCTTGTTGTCTGATACGGCTATAGATGTTTCCATTGAAAGACTGTTGAATATATGGAAGAAACAATTTGTCTTCCTAATTGCTTAATAATCTACTCCAAAAAGTAACAAATTCTAAGTTTTCGATATGCAAGCTTTAGAAACAAATTTCTCCTTCTGATTGTGCTTGTAAGTATCAGTTTAAGTTCTCCATTAGAAACAAGTTATTTTTCATCAAAAAATTTCTAATCTGCATTGAAAAAATTACATGTAACATTGACAAAATTGATTTCAATATACTAGTAAACAATTTTTGATCTGAAACTGTCAATTTGTGCTGAACTGCTCTGTTCAAAATGACAAACTTTAGCGGACATGTTTAAATCAAGTTAATAATAATATAGAAAATGTTACTATCGAAAATTGAGAAATAGTATAATTCTTCATCAACAATGGAGCTAATTATTTTTCCTGTGAACTAATTATTTCTCCTGTTGAATTGGCTACACTTTGGAATACATTGTGTCTATATATAAACGCAACGTCATGAATCTTTAAAGGTTAAGAAAGATATCTAAATAGCAGCACGGTAAGCATAATTTATATCTCGCACAATGGAAGACATTTGTTATGATTGTTTATGAATTTTAAAACGTTCATTTTAATTAATTAAAATAACAAAAGGCACGAAGTGCATTTTCGTAGATATTCTCCAATCTTTCCTGTTGATGTTGTCTCGTAAGCACCTACCTGTATCCTTTTTACCTGGTGCTGACATTATCTCTCACAAAGATCAAAATGAGACAAAAACAAATATATAATGTGTCCATACCATTTTTTCGTGATGTCCCAATGCCTAATAGAGATGCCGCTGAGTGATATAAGGGAAGACATTCGTACAATACATCATCCGGTGTCACATGACAATAGTTGTATATAAACGAACCAATCATACACTTTGCATGTGTAACAATAGCAGGTTTTGGTAAGCCTTTGGAAGAAAAAATAAAACAATAAAATATACCACTCATCAATGTGTGATACAATAATAAAACATAAACAAATAAAAAACACAACAAAAAAAATAACAAAAAAATCAACAAGAGGAAGCCACAATATCTTTTTCAACAAATTTACATACTCCAAAAGAAAGGCAATTTGATTGCAAATTTTACATGCTTTTGAAACAATTTGCTTCGTCGTCTCTAACCAAAATGAAATAGTTTGTATTCGAAAGACATTATTAAGCTTAACGTCAAGCATAATTTTGATATTTGTTAAAGGGGCATTAGCTGCAAAAGGAGTAAGATCGGTAAGGGCCATATTTGGCCCCGATTATCAAGTTCAATGTTTCAAGAACAAAAATGAAGAAAAAACATGTGAGAAAGTTAAATAGAACTCTTTTTGACAAAGTTGTGTTATAATGCTTTGATTTTAACATCCCAATTAGGTCAAAAATAGAGATTTTTGCGAAATTTGACAAAATCTTTCGAATTTTAATCATATTAAGGCCTTAACATAGAGCGCAGGCGTCGACAAACAAAATATTCAAGTCAGATATGTAAGGGACGACATCAAAAGACCAATGTAGGATAAAAAACTTAAATCAAATAGTTTGGGGGTAAAAATTGCTGCCAGTTTTGTTTATCGAAAATCGATTTTACATATATCCATATTGGTCAATCAATTTTTACCAAATTAAGTTAAGAGGGGGGGGGGGGGGGGGGTCAGTAAAAAAACTATGTAAATTAAGTTTTTTATCCTACACTGAACTTTTGATGTCGTCCCTAAAATGTCATAGCAAACATTATGTTAAAATATCTTTTTTGTTGACGCATGCGCTCGATATTTCCTGTCCAAAAAATCAATGGAGATTTACCCGTTTTCATTGAATTTTCGTGAAAAATCAAAATGAGTGCTATTTGTGACGTCATGAATAGATCGCAAGTACGTAAATTGTATTAGCAATGATTCATTGTGATATTGGTCAATGATTTCTAATTTGATATTTTAGCTAGAAGTAGGGGTCATTTTAGGGCCTTATCGAACCTACTCCTTTAAGTTCACCGATTTTACTCAAGTTCTCATATTTGATTAATAACATAGTTTACTAAAACGTATATCCAAATTACAAAGGGTCTTAAATAAACCATTAACCATTGCATGGACTCGATAATATGTCTCAGCATTTCGTTGGTATTTTAATCTAGACGCCATATAATTAACCATCGAGATGACCCCCGAAGACTGCCGACGGTCATATAAACCGATATAAACAGAAACATAAAAATAAATAGATAGCGATCACGTGCACTTGGATTTTTCAAGGTCTGTTTGATTTCATATTATAGATTAAAAAATATGTTAATCATCGGTTTTACCTGTATAAGAATGATTTTCTTGTGGATCGAATCAGTCAACCGAAGGGTTCACCCTTGTTTCATTTTTAATATTGATATTCTTTTCTTTTTAATAGCTAAGCAAGCTTAGTACATGCGTAACCCATCTCTAGCTAACGGGTTAAATTGAAGGTCACATGAATATGGATTCAATGAGGTCAAATTATTGTCTTGCAAGCGAATAATACATAAGCGATGTTTCTGAGCTTATTTTGACAAATTTGGGTTAAACTGACTGCTTATAATTATAACGAACTATTATTTCAAAATACCGCTTTTATTAATACCCGAAACAAAAAGAATCGTATTTAAATATTTAGTCTAAATCGTAGCTAATGCCCCTTTAAGAATGGTCTTCTTCGATATGGGATAAGTAATTAAAATTTGCCAAAATATGTCAAACCTGTCAAACGCACCTTGCCACGAGCGGGGTTTGAACTCATTCTTCAATATTGACAGGCTAGTGATCAATGTAGATGAATTTCATTTTACTTTACAATGCGCTTTCCGCCATACATTTTTGACCGGCTGAAATCTTGCCGATGTGTGGCGTAGCCACTGGAAAATAAATTGTAAGCACGGGCCGGGGTCAGGGGGTCGATATCCACCAGAAGCTTTACATTGGGTCCCGCCAGAAGCTAAGCAGTGGGTTAAAGGGGCAGAAGTTTATCAGTGGGGCTGTAAAAAGAAGCACAATAAAAACCAACCGTTGCTGCTTGGATATATAAATACACAGTTACGTCCGGTAGGAAGGAGGTAAACATTGGTTCTGTAATAAAGAAACATGACACAAACCAAATTGTAAGTGGCTGTTTGGGATGCATAAGTACACAGTAACGTTCAGTAGGAAGGAGGTACCATGCGAAGGAGAGTGTCATACGTTTTGTATATTAAAGAATCCTTTTGAACACGTCTATAGTGGACTTTCATATTTTCTTTTAAAACTTGTATTGCTTTTCCTGCAATTTTATATCAACCTTACTACCTACTAGTGAGGGATTAGAAGTTTAATTTTCCATTTTCTATCCGAGGCAAAAGTGTAAATGGCCTAATCAAGATCAAGTTGAATTTCAGGATGGACATACATCAATGACAGACCTATGAGTCTTTCCTCCACCATCGTTGATCGAATGAGGTTTTTATTCGTTTAAGAGCACTGAAAGATCTCTCTGCAGTAGCAGATGTGAATGGCATAGCCAGTAGAACCTTCACAGCTCTATAAATGTAAGGGTACAATTCATGCATGTTTAGGGTGTCTATCAGTGTACTTGGCTTATCAACAACATTTTGCAATTTGCATTTCCACCTGACCATTTCTGTCCTATATGCTGCAATTTTTTTATTAGGTAGATCTCCTGTAAATGGCATAAAACCTGAAGTTTTGTTTCTTGAGTGTGAGAGGCAAGTTTTGAAGGGATTAAGTATTGAGCGAGAAAGCTTTCTTTGTGAGCAACAAGCCTTGTTTCAATTTCATTTGCAATATGGTCTGACCATTTCTGTCCTATATGCTGCAAACTTTGTATCAGGTAGATCTCCTGTAAATGGCATAAAACCTGAAGTTCTGTTTCTTGAGTGCGAGAGGCAAGTTTTGAAGGGATTAAGTATTGAGCGAGAAAGCTTTCTTTGGGAACAACAAGCCTTGTTTCAATTTCATTTGCAATATGGTCGAGCACTTGGTAATATAAATGATCGTCACCAATACTCTTCAGGTGTATCAACTGGCATATTATCCCGATGCTGGTGTCTTCTTGGATTTCTCGGTAGCAGTCTGCTTTTCTGCGAGTTTGATGATGTTCCCATATAACTCTTGCCAGACGGTGTCATCCTACCTTATTCGACGAAGGCTGACAATAATTATCTCAATTTCAGACGCGGCTTATACCAATCCAATGGAAGGTCTTTGTAGCAGATTAGATAAATTTAAACTGTATTGAAGTACATGTTCTTACAACCAGGGTAAATAAAGGCAGCAGTAGTATACTGCTGTTCGAAATTTATAAATCGATAGAGATAAAATAGAGGTAACAATGAATCCAAAATCTTGATTAGCTAGTTTCAGCTTCTTGGCATTTCTATCACCGTAGACGTCTGTCTTTAAATCATCTAACATGTCAACGACTAAAGCATGAGCAGATTTGAATGTGTTTAGAGCGTCAGTCCTAAATGACCATCGAGCAAATTATATATCCTTCACGATGTCAACTGTATTGTGGATCAAATGGAATGATTTGAAAACAGCCAAATTTAAGCAATGTGCATGGCAGTGCACATAATGAGCTTCCGGGATTTCTGCTTGAATATGTGTGCAAACGCCAGGGAAGTTACCTGCCATATTAGCAGCCCCATCATGACCTTGGCCTATTATTGCCTGTGTCATGATCCCATTCTCACGCAGTTTGTCCATAATAGTAGCGGCCAAAGCCTCTTCAGTTGTTGAACTTGCCTCAGCAAATCAAAGAAACGACTCTTTCACACACAAATATTCATTGTTATCAGTGCCTACATAACGGACACACACAGAAATTTGCTCTGTGGTAGAAACATCAGTAGTTTCATCTGCAAGTACACTGAAGCAATCAACAGTATTACACTCTGTGACGATACGTTGTCGTAACGTTAACTGTTTGCCACACATGTGAATTTCAAATTAATTTTGTACTGTAGGCGATATGTTTCTTGCGACTGCGGGCTGTTTTGTAAATGATCAGCTAAAGTCTGTTCAATTTCAGCCCTATAGTTGATGAGAAATATGAAATTACTTTTTTCTTCGGTATGAACACGCAAGAAATAATCTGTTTATAACAAAGATAAATAGTCTTCAGTATACTTTTCAAAATGTTCCTGTTTCGTGAGATTTTATTTTGAAATGAGCTACTTAACATTGACAATACATCTTCTCTTTTTCCTGTAGCGACTGGTAAAGTAAAGTTTTCACTTATTTCAAGATACTTGCTATGTCCAGGTTGTCCCAAATGGCGTTTTATCAATGCACCCAAATTTCCCCAGTCGTTTACAGGATCCCTAACAAAAGCATGATCAGTACAATTGAATAAAACATAGTTCAAACAGATCGGTTAAATCCCCTTTTCCTACCACGAATTTCTGTATGAGGAAAAACAGAAGATGTAGGATTATCCCATTTTTTTCAGCAAAAACAAATTGTGCATGTTGGTCGTCAACATTTGATTTCTGGAATGCAAGACCTATATTATTTGGCTGATTTGATATAGAACTAGTAACAATTGTTTTTTCATTACTAGTATAATCGTTAGCATCGATGACGTTTGGAGAAGAACTGAGACAATTTAAGTTGTCCCTTACTAATATTTTTTTCAGACGAAGTCGCTGAATTGCTTATCTTCACTTTGATTCAGTTAACTTTCAACTTTCAATTGATGATTAAAAGCGAGTGCTTTCGATCAAATAGTTGTAAAACTAATAAAAACACGTGGTACGTGATCTTGAACTTTATATCATAATCTTGAAATTCCATGATCATAATAACGATGCTGGTAATTATAGCAATCGATTAATATTGAATTGATGATTGAATGGCGGAACATTTCAGGTAAAGTTCCGGAAAGTCAAAGCATGGATGGAGTTTTGCCTTCTGGAAACGATTATTACAGTAAAATTCTTATTGAAAAAAACAATTGCTAAAATTATTTGTACAAATGTAAGCACGTGCTTACAATGCTAAAATGCAGCTACGCCACTGTAGTCTGACCGGTGAAGGTGGCTTATGTCTATTCGCCGGCGGTTGATTTCCTTAGACAAATGGGCCACTGAGGACCTTACGCTTACACGTCAATGAACGTAAGAATACACATCTGACATAATAAGAAATGTATGTATTAATGGAAGCTCATATTGCAATTCAAAATATTTCATCAACCTGGGGTAAATCTAGTATTGGATTTCTTTTAGCTTTTTAGTAAATATGTTTACCTGTTGTACCCGATGTAAATATCAAACAATTTGTACATTTACTGTTGACACTCGACCTCTTGTCACGTGGTATTCTTTGATCAACTGCTGTTTTAAGATCATCTGATAAGCTCTTAAACCTAGACGGTATACTGCTGTTTTGAGCTTCTAATGTGTATAATGCTATATCTTGTAAGTCGTTGGCGATATCGTCTATAGCCTGGTATAAATCTATGCCTAAAACGATAGAAAAACAAATATAATGTATCATTATTTCGGATTGTTGAGAAAAATTTAAACTGTTAATTTTCCGACAGTCTGTTGCTGCTTCCAATTTGGAATACATCTACGTTATATTAGTGTAAGATAGTTATACAGTAAAATAAACAAATGTCAGGTATGCTTGTAATAAATTAAAACATTATATAAACTAAATATGTACAATGTATTGCTATACAGTTATGAGCACTTATGGACCTACATCCTGTCGATGGTTATACTTGGTCATTGCACAAGGTCATGCTTTTCTCAAATTGTTTATGACGTATTTACCCTTAATGCGTTGGAGATATACTAATTGATTTTAAGTCTGGAAAACCATGGTTTATCTATTATTTGAAATTGGCTTTGAACTAGCTTTCACTAACTACGAGTATTTCTAGATCAGTAAGTACGTTTTGATTTTTTCTTTTTGTTAGGGTGTTCTTTTGCTTCGTACCGATTCTGGTAAGTGAAGCCTTTCCAACTGATTTTTATAGTTGGTAATTATGTTGTGCTGTTACTCCTCGCTTATGTTGCGGGAGGGGGTGAGGGGGGATTAGGGAAGTGATGGGATTGAGAGCTCACCAACGTATTAACCCCGTCACATTCTGTATGTGTCTGTCCCAAGACAAGAGCCAATAGCCTGTAATTCAATAGTTTTTGTTGGTTGTAACAACGTCAACATGCTGTTTGCCATATTTGTTTTTCGTTTATATTTGTTTTAGCATTAATCAGACCGTTGATTTTCACCTTTGAGTTGTTTCACATTTTGTTAGTTATTTGGGATGTATAACGTCCTATAAAAAAACCTTATGTTCTAAGTCGGATAGATTTTTCACATTTTGTCATACAAAGGTCACTTAGCTTACTATACGGTTTGCTCATTGTTGACGGTCGTACGGTGACATATAATGGTTGTTTACATCCTCGTTGGAAGATACTAGTACTTTGGTCGCTGACAGACAGTTGCCTCATTGGCAATCATACCGGAACCCACACCTCCTTTTCTTTATACTGTACAATTTCTTTTTCAGTGGCTTCGTTTATCTCATTTATCGAGTAAAACATTTCAGTGATACATTAATTTAGTAATGGATGGTTGTACATTTTTCAGCGACGACATGTTTTTCGCTTTGCAATTTGGAATTATAATAGTATAATAGCTTTAAGCAAATATTTACTCGTCAAATTTAACCTATGCTGAAGGCCAAGATTTATGCGTCAAATTTAACTTGTATATATTAAATAATAGAAAGTATCAACTTTACCACTATTCATAAAGATGGCCTTTGCGCCACTTATTGTTAAGCTGTGGAGTAATGTCTTCTTCCTTTGATGAAAATTGACGAAAGCAACTTCAACTCCAATTTTCTCAAAACCTAAAAGTATTTCAACTAGGATAAATTGTCTAAAGAAAATAAATTGTCTAAAGAAATATGTGAATCAAAGTTATATTGTTTCAAAGTAAATTCAACATGAATGTATCATCAAATTGGTGACTAAATTTACTTCTATTGTCTAGAATGACTTATGCGATGATTTTATTGTCTAAAATACACAAAAACATTAATCAAGTGGACTGTCTTTATTTCACGTCCATGATAACCTTTTGTTGTTTTACTGATCGAGATAAATAACTACAGCCTCTCAAGAGCCTGTGTCGCTCACCTGATTCTATTTTGGTTTTGGAAATCATGTAAAAATAGATTAAATTCATAACAGATACCCTAATAATGAGTGAGGCCAAATTTGGTTTAATATTGGTCCTGTAATTTAATAAAAAATCCTGGTGGCCATCTTGAACAGTAAATCTGCAACAAAGTAGCAACACTTAATCAGCACCTCATAAGAAACATTTATGCCATGTTTTGGTTTCATTCCATTCAGTGCACCTCTAGAAGAAGCATTTGTATGTATTTCCCATAGGGTCTTATGTTAAAGGAAGTCCCCCCATTGGCGGCCATCATGGATGAAGGATCAGCTTCAAAGTAACAAAACTTAGTCAGCACCTCATAAGGAACATTCATGCGATGTTTCGTTTCAATCCATTCAGTATGTGGTTCTCTAAAAGAAGACATTTGTATGTATTGTCCATAGGGTCCTTTGTTTAACATTGTCCCCATCTGGCAGCCATCATGGATGAAGGATCAAAGTAACAACACTTGATCAGCACCTCAGAAGGAACATGCATGCCATGGTTGGTTTCATTCCATTCAATGGTTCTCTAAAAGAAAACATTTGTACGTATTTCACATAGGGTCCTATGTTAAACTAAGACCTCCGCTGGCGGCCATCTTAGATTATGGATCGGCTTCATAGTAACAACACTTGGTCAGCACCTCATAAGGAACATTCATGCCATGTTTGGTTTCATTGCATTCAGTGGTTCTCTAAAAGAAGACATTTGTATGTATTTCCCATAGGGTCCTATGTTAAACTAAGTCCCTGCTGGCTGCCATCTTGGTTGATGGATCAGCTTCAAAGTAACAACACTTAGTCAGCACCTCATAAGGAACATTCTTGCCATGTTTGGTTTCATTCCATTCAGTGGTTCTCTAAAAAAGACATTTGTATATATTTCTCAAGGGGTCCCATGTTAAACTAAGTCCCCCGCTGGCGGCCATCTTGGATTATGGATCGGCTTCAAAGTAACAACACTCGGTCAGCACCTCATAAGAAACATTCATGCCATGTTTGGTTTCATTGCATTCAGTGGTTCTCTAAAAGAAGACATTTGTATGTATTTCCCATAGGGTCCTATGTTAAACTAAGTCCCCCGCTGGCGGCCATCTTGGATGATGGATCCGCTACAAAGTAACAACACTTGGTCAGCACCTCATAAGGAACATTCATGCCATGTTTTGTTTTATTCCATTCAGTGGTTCTCTAGAAGAAGTTCAAAATGTAAAAAGTTAACGCCGACGACGGACGACGACGGACGACGCCGGACGACAAGTGATGAGAAAAGCTTCGGGCCAGGTGAGCTAAAAAGTGTATATTTGAGTTCCCACAGAACTAATTAAACACTCAGGAACCTATAACTGGCCGTTCCGACCTGGTACGTGATTGTCCCTGATTAATTCCTTCACGATTAATGTTGCCCATTGGGGGATTTTGTGTTGACGAAAGATCTTTGGTGGTCTCTGTCTAAGACTCGTGGGATATATAGATATAAGAAGATGTGGTATGAGTGCCAATGAGACAACTCTCCATCCAAGTCAAAATTTATAAAAGTAAACCATTATGGTCAAAGTACGGTCTTCAACACGGAGCATAGGCTCACACCGAACATCAAGCTATAAAGGGCCCCAAAAATTACTAGTGTAAAACCATTCAAACGGGAAAACCAACGGTCTAATCTATATAAAAAACGAGAAACACTTATGAACCACATCAACAAACGACAACTACTGAACATCAGATTCCTGACTTAGGACAGGTGCAAACAATTGCAGCGGGTTTAAACGTTTTAATGGTACCAAACCTTCACCCTTTTTCCGAAACAATAGTGTAACATCACAACATAGAAAGACACACTATAAAGTATCAACTGAAATAGCTCAACTTAATCAAAGGACATATTAACACCAGTGAACATACACTGAACAAATAAATTTGACCTATGATACAATGTAAATACAAAATAAATAAACTAAGGGAAGAATAATAAAAGTAACATGTTATACAGCTATGAAATGTTAAACAATTTAAGAAAAACAATATGCTCGAACAAAAGTATCAGCCATTTGCAATAACTATAAACACAGGTAAATGAAAATAATTTTGTTGTTAGGTATACGTGTACAGTTCAAATAGAGAAAGGAAATATTTTTACAAAATAAATAATTTTGATGTTCATAGTACGAAGTGAAAATTTATAGTAATACCAAACACTTAGCAAAGCTGGTATATAGACCAGATATAACCCTGAATAACATTAGATAACAAAAAAAGCATTACAATTAGTATCAACAGGTCAAATAAACAAGAAAGTACGATTTGAGAGTACTCGCAGTTACTGACAGCTAGTTAAAAGCCAAAAACAATTAATAATAAAAAATCATGCATCAGAGACTAAAATCAACTAAAACAAATCCCAGGGATTTAGTATTTTAACGTCATGGACAGTCAAAGAAGACATGACTTATGCAATGCCAAAAATAAATGTATCGACAGGCAGTAGGATAGTTAGGAGTTTAACCTCTTTATAGATCAAAATGAACGTGGGTGTACCTTTATACATCCCGTTTGAAAAGAATACAAATTTAGTTATGTTTTAATTTGCTGATGACAAAATCGATATGTGTGCCAATGTAAACTATATTCAAAGATCTAATTATAACATTGGTAAGGTAACCTTTACTAATAAGTTTGTTTAAAGGTTCGATGAGTTTACACGGATCACATAGTGATTTCCGCGCTTTAAGAACAATATTACCGTAAAATTTAGGATGTGAAATACCGTTTTTAATCAGTTTTCTACAGGTACATATAGAGCTTATTGCTTGAGAATGACATGCAATAAATAGACAAAGTTCTATTATCAAAGACCACGTGTTGACATATACAAATCTAATTTATTTTGATCCGTTGCTGTCTAATTGATCAGTCAACATCCCATTTTTGTCGAGCCTGCGACTCCTGTCACAGAAAGCGAGACATAGGGATAGTAATCCGGCGGCGGTGGCGATAGTAATGTGTATACATGTCCAACTGGCAGGTGTCATCTGACCTTGACCTCATTTTCATGGTTTGGTGGTTAAAGTTACGTTTTTTTTTGTTTTGGTCTGTTTTTCTAATACTGTATGCACAAGGTCAACTATATTTGGTGTATGGAAATATTTTACGATGTACATGTCAGTCTGGCAGATTTATTTGACCTTGGCCTAATTTTCACGGTACATTGCTCATTATTAAGTTTTTGTGTTTTGGTCTGTTTTTATTAAACGATAGGCAATTATAGGTCAGCTATATTTGGTGTATGGAATGATTGAAAGGTGTACATTTGTATATGTCTGCCTGGCAGGTATCATCTGACCTTGACCTCATATTCATGGTTCAGTGGTTAAAATTAAGTTTTTGTATTTTGGTCTGTTTTTCTAAAACTGTAAAAATAAGTCAACTATATTTGGTGTATGGAAATGTTTTACGATGTACATGTTAGTCTGGCAGGTTTTATTGACCTTGACTCCTTTTTCACGGTTGATTGCTCAATGTTTAGTGTTTGTGTTTTGGTCTGTTTTTATTAAACGATGAGCAAACCCCTACGGTGACCTATAGTTGTTAATTTCTGTGTCATTTGGTCTCTTGCGGAGAGTTGTCTCATTGGCAATCATACCACATCTTCTTATTTTATATGTCTGTTTGGCAGGTATCATCTGACATTGACCCCATTTTCATGGTTCATTGGTCAATGTTAAGTTTTCCTGGTTAAGTTTGATTCTTGTATACTATAAGCAAATGGTCAACTATATTCGGTGTATGGAATGATTTTAAGGTGTACATGTATTTCTTGCTTGATTTATCTGACCTTGACCTCATTTTCTCGAATCATATTAAGTTTATGTGATACTGGTAGTAAAACTTGATATTTAACACTATCAACATAAAATCAATGATCAGTAAAGCAGGCGATACATTTCAGCGTGTGCACTCTTGTTATCAATAAATAACCAGATGTCCTAAGCATTGGTTTTGATTTAATTATCAATTGTATAGGATATATCTTTAGGTAAGATATATACTTTGAAAACATTTTTTTTTTCTTCTTCGGAAAATGCCTGTACAATATCACGAATATGACTTGTTTTTCAGTCGGTTCCATTGGTTGATAAAATGTATGGTCAAACGTTTAGTAGTGATCATGTTTTATGGATTTTCCCTTTTTGATTTTGCCTTGAAGTTAGGAGTTTTTGTTAATACGTTGTTATTACTTTATCTCAACTTACCAAACCAGGCCCAAACAAATGCAGGTTCATTGTACATCAGTATGGCTACAGTATCACCTTGTTTTATACCTAACCCACATGCTACATTGGCCAATTTATTTGCCATTTTATCCACTTCCATGAAACTGTACGACACGTCTTTATAGATGATCATTGGCTTCGTAGTAAACTTATCGGCTGTTTTCTCAAAGATGTCTATTGGCAGTATATTTTTTTTCTTGCATGTCTCTATTTCCTTTCCAAATCCAATTAGAAATTTGAGAAATCTGATATCACTAGGTAACCATGGTAATTTTAATTTCACTAGCAGATATAAGCCACCTATGGCACCAGCTATTGTTGCTAATATCATATACATTCTATAAAAATGAAATGATATTTAATAAATAACAGTGATGGGCATGGCTTTAATAAACAGGTAACCAAGGAACGGCTCATTTAAGAAATGGTCAATACATCGTACAGTAATATTTAAAAAATAATCATGAATAGAATAAGTCATGCTATGATTTCCGTGAGCACAAAGCACGTTTCTGGAATAACTTTCCTTAGGTACGGTCGAGATAAAAAAAAAAACAACATTGGAAAATCAAAAAAATAATAATACAATGTAACAAAATAACATAGCTATTTAACAGCTCTGTACTCATTTCACAAAAAAATCTAACGACTAAATTGATCGTAAGTCTTGAAACATTCAGAACTTTAAGCAGCAAAAATTGTAAATGTCAGTGTTTTGGGACGAAAGGTATTTGGGCCGAAATGTTGAAATTGTTGTTTGAGTGGTTTCTTTCCACACTCTTATTATTATCCAAAAGGAACGAACATGTGAACGAATGTTTTTGATGTTTCAACTAAATAAATAACGATCAGCATCTTGGTCAGAGGAACAAGGTAATTATTTATATGTATGTTTAACGTGCAAATGTTCCTGACCATGAAATAAATGGTATTTTCTAGATTAATGGTGGTTATAACGGCTCATTAAATGCAAACATGTAAACGTCCCATTCACTCCTGATATTTCGTTTTTATTAGTGTTTATTGTAATGTACATTTAATATATTATTTTTAGACTATCTAGGCAAGTTATGTGTAATTTTACCTTTTTTAAGTTCCGTTTTATGAAACTTTTAATTGTATTGAACCCCTGTTTAAAAAGTGGATTATCTCCCTTTACCCGCACATTTTATGGTCAGAGTTATCTTTCTTTAACTATCGTAAATTGTAAAATTATGTGTTTGAAAGGGTTAAATGATTTTTGTGAACAATTTTAAGATTTTAAGGTTTTAAGATGAAAACACTTAGTTAATTCATGATTTAATATTCAAATAAGCTTGAATATTTTTATCGAACACACATGGAAGGATTATGATTATTATATGGAAATATTTGATATTTGTGTATAATTTTATGATTTCAACCATGATTTGTTGATACTTTGAACTTATCGATCAATGACGATTGCTTTATTGAATTTATACGGAAACGAACACAAAACATACATGTTATTAACGAACAACAGGTTATTGGTGATCAGGTTTATTAGCACCGCTATACATGTACTGTATTTTTAAACGATATAACTTACCTGCCTTGTTATGTATATAATTACTAAATCCAAATAGTATGAAATTTTTTCTTATGATTGTTATATTTGTATTTTGTAGTTCTTACGGTTTGATGTGAACGAAGTAACGAAATAAACTACAGTCTGAGAATTTTATTAAGACCAAGACCAGCTACAGTAAGAACTTGCCTTTAGTCATGGATCCTGGTGAAAAAGTCAAAGAAATAACTGATATTGATTCCCAAAAGGATGATACAATTGCTGATGATAACAAGCAAGATGAAACACCCAATGTTTTTAGTGATCTTCGACGATCAACAAGAGAAGTGAAATACACTGACAATGTCTGAGTACCGACAGGAAGAATTCAACAAAAGGAAACAGAAACTGATGACCATTTTCGACAAATGGAAGGATAATGTCAGAAAATTTAGAAATCGTCTTAAAAAGGAATGCCAAGAATCTGTTCTTGTGGATATTATTGATTCAGTGAAACATTTAGAATCATCTGTGGTAGAACACTTTGAAGATTTGCGCACGTTGGGAACTATAACACCAGACATAGCAAGGAAAGTTGATGCATGCGTTGCAATAAGTGCAGACCTATTGAAAATTGACAATGAACGATTATGTGAAATTCAAGAGTTTGATTTGCCTCGTGAAAAGGACCGCCTTAGAAAGTTAAGAGACAATGATTATGCAAAATCTATATTTAGTGAATCTGCTTTAACAGAAAAGAGTAAAATTTCACAAAAGATGGTTGATGCTTCAGTGGAACTGGCCGCCAAAACAGCTGAATACAGAATGGTACAAGAAGAGGAAGTGCAACGAGCAAAACTCATCGAACTTGAACATGAACAAAAAATTCAAATGCAAGCTCAACAAAGTGAGCTGAAGAGGATAGCTGCTCGTAAAGAGCTTGAGATAGCCAACGCTCGGCTTGGTGCTTATAGTCGGATGACTGAATTAATACAAGGAAAAAATGAAGAACCGGGAGCATCAAACATTTTGCAAACTAGAGTTTCCGAATCAAACGTGTTGCCAACTCGCATTCCAGAAACAAGCATCTTGCCTACTACAGTTATGGAAACATACTTAACATCCACACATCAAAATCCAATCCTTTACAATACTAATAACGACGTGCCAAATATACAGAATCACATTAATCATTTGCATGAAACACATACAGAAACAAATGTTACTACAGACACTAACAATAAGTCAGTGAATCTTAATCGTTTGCCAGTGCCAGAGCCAAACATATTTAATGGTGATCCTTTACAGTATATGGAATGGAAAACATCATTCGAAATGCTCATTGATCGTAAAGGTGTTCCTACAACAGAGAAGATCTTTTATTTAAAAAAATATGTTGATGGAGCCGCTAGAAAGGCGTTAGAGGGATACTTTTATAATAATAGTCAGACTGATTATGACAATGCAAGAAAGGTTCTGGAGGAAAGGTATGGAAAACCTTTTATAATGCAGAAGGCCTTCCGAGACAAATTAGCATCCTGGCCTAGAATAGCACCTAAGGATCATATAGCCCTTAGAGACTTTGCTGACTTTCTGCAAGGGTGTAGATATGCGATACCTCATGTTCCAAGTTTAAGTATTTTGAATGACTGTACTGAAAACCAAAAACTTCTTAACAAACTTCCAGACTGGGCATCTGTGATATGGAATCGAGAAGTAACTCAAAGCCTTGATATAAGTGCTACATATCCCTCCTTTGACAAATTCGTGAATTTTGTCGTCAAGGAGGCAAAGGTTGCCTGCAATCCAATATCATCACTTTATGCCTTGAATGACAATGAACGTAAAGTTTCAAGAGACCCAAGAACAAACACCAAAGTGAAAGTTTTAGCTACATCAGCCTCAAATGACACCAGGCCTTATAACGGCACATCTGCGAATAAAACATTAGTTTGTGAATACTGCAAGAAGGTTGGACATTATATCTTTAAATGTGAAAAGTTCCTGTCTATTTCTATAGCAAATAAACAATTATATGAGCGTGAAAACAATTTGTGCTATGGATGCTTACGTAAAGGCCACTTGAACAAAGACTGTAATAGAACAACGTAGAGTGAAAACCAGCAAGCTCTTAAAGGGTTAGTCAGAATAACGGCCAGAGTACATCCATGATCGTTCCCGTGTGGGTGTCTCACAAAGATAAGCCCTCTAGAGAGATTCTTACATATGCATTACTGGACACTCAGAGCGATACAGCCGCATCACTGCATATACCGTTTGAACCTATCAGACTTAGTTTATCAACAATGACCTCTCAGCATACTATTATAGAAAGCTCAAAAGTATGCGGTCTACAAGTTCGAGGATTCAAATCGTCTGAAAGTGAGAAGGTGACAATAAATAATGCTTACACCAGGGACTTTATCCCTGCCGACCGTTCGAATATTCCGGAATCGTCAACAACGTTATCGTCAACGAACCACCTTTATCCGCTTGACCCAATTCTTGAAAATGGACTTTTACGTGTTGGAGGTCGTTTGAGAAAGGCTGATCTTCCTTCTCAATGTATTCATCCGATAATTCTTCCAAAGGATAGCTATATCACACAATTGATTCTAGCACATGTTCATCAGAATACCCAGCATCAAGGAAGAGGGATAACTTTGAATAAGCTAAGATCACATGGTTACTGGATTGTCATAGGAAGCAAAGTTGTTGCGAAATTCATTCGTCAGTGTGTTGTTTGTAGAAAGCTTAGACGCCTTACCGAAACTCAAAGAATGGCAGACTTGCCTGAAGATTGTGTTGTGCCTTCGCCACCCTTTATGTATTGTGGTATGGATTGCTTTGGTCCTTTTATGGTTAAACAAGGACGCAAGGAATTCAAACGATATGGACTTTTACTCACGTTCATGTGCTCGCGTGCAATTCATATCGAAATGCTTGACCTTATGTCAACTGATGATTTCATAAATGCTCTATGTTGCTTCATAGCAACCCGTGGAACGGTTAGACAGATCCGCTCAGATTAAGGGTTAAATTTCATTGGTGCTAAGAACGAATTTGACCGGAGACATAATTGACCAAAATAGCATCATTTCTTGTGGAAAGACAATGTGACTTTGTAATGAATGCTCCGTGTTCAAGCCACACTGGTGGAGTATGGGAAAGACAAATTCGAACAGTGCGAAATATTCTCAACTCAATATTGATGTTGTGTCTAGGAAGATTAGATGATTTGTCTTTGCGAACTATCCTTTATGAGGCGATGTCGATTGTAAATTGTCGTCCTCTAACCGTTAGTGAAATAGAAGATCCAAAGGCACCTGAGCCTCTTACTCCAAATCATATTCACACGTCTAAATCAGATATACCATACCCACCGCCAGGTGATTTCGTGAAGGAAGACTTGTATCTTAGGAAACGATGGAGACGTGTTCAGTATCTTTTAGAACAATTCTGGGCAAGATGGAAGAAGGAATACATAGCCTAAATTTCTCTTAGACAAAAGTGGCATAATGCTCGCCGTAATATGCAAATAGGCGATATTGCTCTCGTTAATGATATTGACCTTTCTTGCAATCAGTGGACATTGGCTAAAGTTGTTGAGGTGAACACAGACGATGATGGACTTGTCAGAAGAGTAAAACTGAAAATTGGAAGAAAAGACTCTGCGTCATCTTCTGTTCTTGAACGAAGTGTGCATAAATAAGTCTTGCTTGTAGAACATGTTGAAAATTAATCTGAGCTTATTTGCCCAAGATTTTATGTACCATGTCATTTTTAAAAAGACTTCCTTTGCTAAGAGTATTGGTTAATGAGAGTAGTATTTTTGCATTTTTTTTCATACATGTATTTTATTCAAAACACTTCATTTTGTGTAAACAAGAGTGCACACGCTGAAATGTCTCGCCTTCTTTACTAATCATTGATATAATGTTGATAGTCCTAAATATAAAGCTTTATTACAACTGTCACATAAACTTAACATTAACCAAGTAAACTAAACATTGACCAATGAACCATGAAAATGAGGTCAAGGTCAGATGAACCATGCTAGGCAGGCATGTGCAGCTAACAATTTTTCCATACAACAAATATAGTTGACCTATTGCTTATAGTTTAAGAAAAACAGACCAAAACACAAAAACTTAACACTGAGCAATGAACCTTGAAAATGAGGTCAAGGTCAAATAAAACCTGCGTGACTGACATATAGATCATAAAATATTTCCATACACCAAATATAGTTGAACTATTGCATATAGTATGAGAAAAAAAAGACCAAAACTCAAAAGCTTAACTTTGACAACTGAACCATGAAAATGAGGTCAAGGTCAGATGACACCTGCCAGCTAGACATGTACACCTTACAATCATTCCATACACCAAATATAGTAGATCTATTGCATACAGTATAAGAAAAACAGACCAAAACACAAAAACTTAACTATAAACACTGAACCATGAAAATGAGGACAAGGTCAGATGACACCTGCCAGTTGGCATGTACACCTTACAGTCCTTCCATACACCGAATATACTAGACCTATTGCTTATAGTATCTGAGATATGGACTTGACCACCAAAACTTAACCTTGTTCACTGTTCCATGAAATGAGGTCGAGGTCAAGTGCAATCTGTCTGACGGGCATGAGGACCTTCCAAGGTACGCACATACTAAATATAGTTATCCTATTACTTATAATAAGAGAGAATTTAACATTACAAAAAAAACTTCGTAACATGAGGCATCCATATACAAAGTATGATGCATCCAGATCTTCCACCTTCTAAAATATAAAGCTTTTAAGAAGTTAGCTAACGCCGCCGCCGGATCACTATCCCTATGTCGAGCTTTCTGCGACAAAAGTCCCAGGCTCGACAAAAATCAATTTTGATTTTTGGGGGAGTGTAAATGTCAGTGTTTTGGGACGAAAGGTATTTGGGCCGAAATGTTGTTATTGTTGTTTGAGTGGTTTATTTCCCCACTCTTATTATTATCCAAAAGGAACGAACATGTGAACGAATGTTTTTGATGTTTCAACTAAATAAATAACGATTAGCATCTTGGTCAGACGTCCCATTCACTCCTGATATTTCATTTTTATTAGTGTTTATTATAATATACATTTCATATATTATTTTTAGACTATCTAGGCAAGTTATGTGTAATTTTACCTTTTTTAAGTTCCGTTTTATGAAACTTTTGATTGTATTGAACCCCTGTTTAAAAAGTGGATTATCTCCCTTTACCCGCACATTTTATGGTCAGAGTTATCTTTCTTTAACTATCGTAAATTGTAAAATTATGTGCTTGAAAGGGTTAAATGATTTTTGTGAACAATTTTAAGATTTTAAGGTTTTAAGATGAAAACACTTAGTTAATTCATGATTTAGTATTCAAATAAGCTTGAATATTTTTATCGAACACACATGGAAGGTTTATGATTATTATAAGGAAATACTTGATATTTGTGTATAAATTTATGATTTCAACCATGATTTGTTGATACTTTGAACTTATCGATCAATGACGATTGCTTTATTGGACTTATACGGAAACGAACACAAAACATACATGTTATTAACGAACAACAGGTTATTTATTAGTGATCAGGTTTATTAGCACCGCATAACATGTACTGTATTTGTAAACGATATAACTTACCTGCCTTGTTATGTATATAATTACTAAATCCAAATAGTATGGAATTTTTTCTTATGATTGTTATATTTGTTTTTTGTAGTTCTTACGGTTTGATGTGAACGAAGTAACGAAATAAACTACATTCAAATCAGTCTGAGAATTTTATTAAGACCAAGAATAGCTACAACAATGAACAGTCATGTATGCACTACAAATAAGCCAAAGAGACCGACTCCTTAATAAGGAGTTACATGTATGGTCCTTTAAAGACGAATTTTGACGAATTTTCGTGTTTTTGCCACTTATCCCAAGAACTAAGGAAAGAATAGATAAAAACTATAAACAGCAAAAATGATCAGCAATACAGGATATACAAAAATCCGTATAGAAGTTATTGCCCTTAAAACATATTTTTGACTAATACTTATCATTTTGCAAATACCTTGAAAACTATAGTTACTGTAGATAGGTGGAAATTGTAGACAGCAAAATGATCAGCTATTCAAGATCTACAAAAATGCCAATATGACTGAAACAATCAGATGACTCCTTAAGGAGTTATTGCACTTTAATGACGATTTTTTTGCGATTCAGGCTCTCAGGATCCTGTTGTTTCTCTATAGGAAAATGTTATCACCAATTTTGTTTTGGTTTTGTTATTTTGACCAAACTCAAGCTTGGAAACATTTCAAAGTATTGGTTCGCGTACTCCTTTTAATTCGTGAGTTACCATCTACGTTAAAATTGTATACTTTAGCAGGTAGTACAGTAGCATTGCAAATATCATGGGTTTAATACACTTGATTATTCTTGCTAAGTACATCTAATCAGAAAACTTTTAGATAAAAACAAGTATCCAAGGTCACTGAATTGTTGTTGAAGGGCAGCAAGTCGTATGGTTTCAAATAAAATGCATGAATAAAATTGAGAATGGAAATGGGGAATATGTCAGAGAGACAACAACCCGACCAAAGAGCAGACAACAGCCGAAGGCCACCAATGGGTCTTCAACGCAGCGAGAAAATCCCGCACCCGGAGGTGGTCCTGAATGCCAATTTAACAGCATTCCAATTATCAAAGATATATAATAATTATAATAAATAAGACGATGTGGTATGATAATTGCCAATGAGACAACTCTCCACCAGAGACCAAATGACATAGAAGTTAACAAGTATAGGTCACCGTACGGCCTTCAACAATGAGCAAAGACAAATGTAAAACAATTCAAACGAGAATATAAGTACGTTTCCATAAACATAGGTAAACTATAATCAGTATACCTAAAATTAAACTGTGAACATGTATATATTTCATTCACTGAAACGTCACTGAGGGGAAAGACCCTATACGGGAAACTGAAATCTAGGGAGCATACTAATAACTTACACTGGTTTGCTGACAGTATTTCTTTATAAAATACAACAAAGAACTACTGTATGACTGGAGGGTGTTATACAATTTGAGGTCCGATTTTGATGAAATTTTTTGTGTTAAACTCAGAAATGTGTAGAGTTTTTTATGGTTATTATGACATCTTTTTAGGACATGCCATTACTGAGAAATCATTATTTGTATACACATATTGAAATTAGACATCTTTTTAGGACATGCCATTACTGAGAAATCATTATTTGTATACACATATTGAAATTAAGTGTCATTTTTCCCATATAGCCTTATGATTTTTTTATGCCGAAACTCATATTTGTCTTTAAACTGTGATTTTTCCAAAAATATGAATGAAAAACATATTTCATAAATATTGCAAGAAACTGCAGACATTTCTATATTTACTGTAAAGAAAAAAAGTCATTCAATTTGGACAAGTAATATCTTCAGTAGAAATTTTATGAAAAATGTGTTTTTATATGAAATAATAGGTGAATTTCCGATAGGTGAAACACATTTGACCTGAAACTGTATAAGGCAACGGATTTAACAAGTATTTAAATATAAGGCGACGGATTTTTTTTATCAACCAAAGGATGCAATGCGAATGGGTCAAGTCTCTCATTACAAATACATCCTATGTTATCATATACTTATATAAAGTAAAGTTGCGTCGCTTGCTAAGTATTCTCTACTTTGTCACATCCGTTTTATACGATTCAAAATATTTAAAATGATTGAGGATTTACTCAAACTTACGCCAGTGAATTTTTTAAAATGTCAGATTTTCATATATCATGAAATCAAAAATCTCCTCTTCAAATTAAAACATGGTGAACACATTATCATCTTTGACATGTATAAACCTCAAAATATAAGTAATTATATCATCTCTTCACATTCCACAGATACTGTACTACATTTAGTCAATTGATACGAGATTTGAATTCCTACTCTTACTACGACACTTATCAGCAGGATGTATATTTACTACGAAATAACGCCCAGTGGCAAATATATAACTGCATATTCAGGACGTAAAATTGTTAATGTGATATGAATATAAACCCTGCTTTCTACTAGACGGACTCACGTTGAGCCAAATTTTTAACGTGCTAGTTAGTTCACAAGGTATTAGTCCATAGGAAAACATGTCACCCTACCCGGACACATTATTCTGACACGTCTTTGCTCTAACTTCTTGAGGTTCATCATAATCTTTAGGCTACTATGACCGTATTTACCTGTTTACACCACAATTTTTACTGTACAGACACACCTGTGCACCAGGAAAAGTTTTAAGGCATGGCAGAAACTAGATAATTAGATTTTAAATGCATTTTATGTTTCAGAAAGTTATAAACTTTTCTGGATTTTGCTATTCATTTTTTTCATTCCTGCAGAAGGTACCAAAATAAACTTAAGTTGGGAAAGAGTTTTGAGAAACTCCCCTCATATAATAAATGTTGCGAGGACAATAGGCATCTGCAAACAATAGCCGAATAGGTCATTTAAACTGTGTAACTGAGTGGACCGTGTCAAATGAAACTCATGTGTTTGTTATGGAACGCCTCAGCTGTCTTATGTGGAACTCTGATATTACTTTATGTTGTTTTATTATTACTTGATGATAGTTTGTCTTTACTTAATATGGTTTTGACATTACGTAATGATGTTTTGATATAACTCAATATGGAATAGTCATTACTTAATGATATTTCGATATTACATGATATGGTTTCGTATTGACTTGATATAGTTTTGTCATTACTCAATATGGTTTTGTCATTACTCGATGTGGTTTCACCATTATTTAATGTGGTTGTGTCATTAGTCAATGTGGTTTTAACATTACTTGATGTGAATGTGACTTAACGTTAATATATGTAGTTGTTTCATTACATGATGTGGTTTTGTTATTTTGTAATGATGATTTGCCTATTCTTTATATGGTTTTAACATTACGTAATGATGTTTCAAAATTTGACGATTTTACACTACATGATATGTTTGTTTCATTATTTGATGTGGTCCTGTCATTCTTTGATGTGGTTATCCCATTACTTGATGAGGTAAAACCACGTGACCAATTTGGAAAAAAACCTGTTCTATTTTTAGATAGATTTCTATGTTGTATGTGCCTTGGATGAGTGTTTCCATCCATCGAATTAGAGTTCAAATTAAAGTTAGGGTTACTGTTTGAGTAGAACTTTGAGTTAGTCTCCGATTCCGAATTCAAGTCATTTTTAGAATTAAAGTTTTAGTTAGCATTGAGTTTCGAGTTGGACTTCAAGTTTGAGTCACATTTAAAGGTAGAGTTCTAGTTACACCATTAAATTTGAGTCACTTTTTGTGTTTGAGTAAGATTCGAATTTAAGTCTCATTTAGATTAATTAAGATTTTGAGTTGAAATTCGTGCTATCTTATATGAGTTCGTAATTAAATTTTCTATCGCGGAACAAGGACGTTTGCTCGGGATTCCGATAAGAGGGCTCCGGGGTATGCGTACAATTAAAAGATAAACAATGTTACAGTATACAAAACGCAACATAGAAGTTGAAATAAAGTTAGATGTGGTGTGATTGACACATTTATACAACGACAACAATTGAACTTCGTGCTCCTGACTTGGGGCAGGTACATAAAGAAAGTGCACGTGGCGGAGTTTAACATGTATGTGAGCGCTAAATCATAACCTTACATCGGACTGTTACACTTGTGTAACAGCACAACACGAGAACAAATGTAAACTAGACAAAGTGATGCCCCGCACTCAACTCATTTAACCGCTTATACCCCAAAAATGACAAAAAAAAGTTCAATTATCTCCCAAAAGAGCAAAAGATAATAAAAATAAAAGCCCTGACCACATGCACACCTTCAATATATGTACAAACAGCCAGCAGAGCGAAAACTTCCTAGCATTCAAACTGTAGGAGAGTTATCTGGAAACGCTCTTCTTATGCAAGTAAATTTCCCAAAAAATTACAAAGTTCAACTATCTCCCAAAAGAGCAAATATTAATAAACATTAAACCCTGACCACATGCACACCTTCAATATATGTACAAACAGAGAGTAAAGAGAAAACTTCCTAGGATTCAAACTGAAGGAGGAGTTATGCGGAATAACTATATACCCATCATGGGACGGACAGACGGACGGACGGACGGACAGGGGTAAAACAATATGTCCCCCCAAACTTTCAGTTGCGGTGGCATACAAAACAGTTTCATTTGGCTGACTCAATAGATCGATATGACTGGGTAATATAAATCCATCGGGGTGATCTCGGATGCTCCTGGCCAGAAAGGCACCCGTCGTGCTATTCGAGAAAGTACAAACCCAGTGATTTGGTTTTATTTGGTAGTTCACATTCAAGAAAAAGATGACGGTATTATGGTTACGACCACTGGAACATGTCCGTCGTCACATGTGAAACAGATATTCCAAAAAGTTTATTTTTCAATTAGTGCGAGGTAGATCAGGGAATTCAATTGATTACAAATAAAAGGATGATATTTGTATATTAAGTTCAAATGATCATTTACGCTAAAAAAAATTCGGAGAATTCTTATTTTATAGTATTGATGCTTTGTCGCTAAGTCCGAGCCCCCTGCCCCCGTTTCCCTGTAACTTTAGTGTGAGTTGATTTGAAGTGCTTCATTTGTTAACATTAAAGTTCAAGTCGTTTGATTTGTGTCGAGCCTGCGACATCAATGTAGCGGCAGTGAGACCCAACAAACCGATATTTCGTCGTCGATAGTGGCGTCGGCGTCTCCATCTCCATTTTTTTTTATTTTTATTGAGTTTAACCTTTCATTATACATGTTACTAAACATGTATGCAGTTATAATTTTGTACTTTTAGAATATCATACTGTATTTGTTTACCTCAACTATTGTATCTGTATTTATATTGTATGTTTTTCTGACTGTAAACTTGTAACTAGTTTTTAGAGAATAAAGTATCTATCCATCTATCTATTTATCTATAGATCGTTAGGTTTCTAGTTTTTTACATTTTTCATTTCAGGACCTTTTATAGCTTACTATAGGGTATGGGGTTTGCTTATTGTTGAAAACCATACAGTTTTGTTTTAGTTAAATAAAACCGAA